CACACACACACAGACAGACAGACAGACAGACAGTTGTTCACTGACCCTGGACTGGAGTAAGGCGACTCAATCAGGACCTGACACACAGACATCAATAACAACAACAACAACAACAACAACAGCAGCAGCAACAACAACAACAGCCACCACTTACCCTGGACTGGAGTAAGGCGACTCAATCAGGACTTGACACACAGAGGTAGCCTCCCCTGCTGTGTTCCTCACCACCACGGTATACGACCCCGTGTCTTCCGCGTACGCCTCTCGGATGTCCAGAGAGGAGAAGGTCGGGGTCACCGTGATCTGGGGGACAGACAAACAAACAGACAGACATGTCAGCAACTTCAAACATGGTCTCATAATCACAGGTGTCAACTGGCGGCGGAAAAAAGAATCCAAGACTCTCGACTGAATTCTCTGTCTCACAGTTACAAGGCTCTATCTGCTCAGTACCTAGATCTAGTTTTGAGAAACATGACGTCATTTTTTAAAATTTTCAAGTTGTTTTTTTAGGGAAATTCTTTGAATATCTTGATAATGACTCTGAATAATACATGTATTACGATTTTGTTATAGCAGAGAGAACATAATTTATTGGTTTCTGACTTGATGGTCTTAGTAACTCAAAACAGACAAAAATGTCGGATAGAAATGAGTAATTCTAAGATTGAAACTTGGCAGGGTCCTCTCGGAGATGGATATTAAATTCGGAGGCCCCGCCTCTTAATAAAGTTAACCAATAATGTTGATAGTGGCGTAAAACCAACTCACTTAGAACTAACAGAAATGTTTCAGACATGTTTCTCTAATGGCTAGACAGGCTGACTCGCAACTGTGAAATTGTGAGTTCAGGGGTTCGAGCGTGAGCTCGACCCGACGCTGTGTCCTTGGGAAGAGGCACTTTACACGAACTTCCCACTTGGCTCGGGCCTTTCGGAGATGGACGTTAAACTTAGAGGCCGCGCCTCTTAAATAACCTGACAGTGTTGATAGAGGCGTTAAACCCATACCATTTCACCATCTGTTTTGCTTCTTCCAAGCACTACTATAATATGACCGTTATTGTGTCGATGAGCTTCCGTTTACGCAATAGTAAATTGTTCCTTTTTAAGGACAAGTGGGCTAACCCAGATTTCGGGGGGTTTCCAGAAATCTTGACCTACACCAAAAGTGGGCATAGCCCTACCATTTCACCGGTGTTTTTTTTTTCCATCATGTTTCTCTCACCTTGTACATGTTGTTGGGCAGGATGCGGTTACTTCCCCGGAACCAGATGACCTCGGGGGCCGGGGAGCCGGTGAAGCGGACCTCCAGGTGGAGAGTTTTCCCTTCTGGGGCCGTCACGTCTTGGAGTGGTTGTTGGATGCTGGGGGCAACTGTCGCTGGGGGCGGGAGGA